TAGGAAAAACTGTTTTAATTATGAAAATCTATATAGACAGACAGAGTCCGCTCCTATAGTACATCATGTAGCCGGTCTCTCGTACTATCTATATCACCATTTGAATCCATATGTTTGACAGAAGAAAAATACCAAAATATTTTCGTTTAATGTCTGTTTTCTGCAGTGGGGTCCATTTGGGCCCCGCTTGGTAGCACAAGGGTTAAATGTAGAAAAAAGACAATATCTTCTCTTGAAAATGTCACTGAGGAAGTGTGCTGTCCTTTCAGCATCCGTTCTATACATCCGAATGTATCCGTTCCGTACACAATCTACAGGCCCGCCCGTAGAATGTATTTGGACTGGCCCGTACGGATCTCTCTGAAAAATTTATGCGTTCTCTACGAAACGGGCAAAACTGACTCTTTCACACATAAAACGTTTCGTTTCTCACTAGTTTTCGTCTTAAATTTTGTAAAAGCTGGTCAGAAAATGCTTTTTCTAGAGTCTGACCACTGGATCTAAGGATTTTCCTGAAATTTCTCTCTTCTAGTTTTTTCCCTGCGTATTTAGTCAAAAATCAAGATGTGAGCGATTTGTCTTCAGCAAGTTTTCCTTGTACAATAAGTGTAACTTTTGTTTAAGATATACTACCGTATGATGATGATCTCGATGTATTAATGCCTGAACATGATCGTTCACGTCTGATAGAAATCATGAATTCAACTAAAAAAGGTAAACGTAGTTGGGCAGTCTTCGCACGTGGTCGTGCTAGTTCAACGAAATTTTATTTTCGTGAATCAACACGAGCTGGCGACTGGAATTGGAACTGGCCATTTATCGATGTTTTTGGATATAGTGAAAATTCTACTCACATTTGGTTTGAGGCACCAGTTAATAAAAACTATATTTTTCCTTTAATTTTGAGGCCAACTGCATCTCTATGGTTATGGTCACCACGAAGTATTTTTGGATATTATCGATCATTGCAAAAATACTATCGCCTTTACAATAAATCATCCTCTTTTGATCAAGAATGTTTTCAACAACGTTATTCTCATCGATATGAAAGGCAAAAACATGAATTTAAAGTTGTTAATTGTACTCAGTTGCACAACACCTATCGATATATTCGACGAACGTGTAATGAGACAAGATGTCTTGAACATTTGATGATTAATAATGCACTGTTGTATACATTGAATATAGATAAAGATCCTTTTGCAGATGATTTTCCTTCTAGGGTTAAATAGCTAGGAAGTTTTCAGGTTTACTTTTATGTCAGGTTAAATTAGATAAATGATATATATGACATACTGAAGAACATATTTCCAAGGATTAAGTTGATTCCACTAATAAATGTGACGGCATTCTGGTAGCAGTAAGCTTTCACATTAACTGGATGAACATATTGATTAAGCTAATTAATGTGAGAACGCTTCACTTAATACCCGAAATTAAAACTTGACCAAAACATTTTCCCACGTTCTCTGATATGAATGCGTAGCACTCACAAAGAAGTATAGAAACACGAGTACTACATATTCAGAGATCATTTGACTATCAAAAAGTTTTGAAAAATTAACTATTTGATAATAGACTAAATGAGCAAAATGTTCGCAACAGCTCGTCACGACAGATGTCGCAACCTTGTAGTAAGCGAAAAACAGCGAAACAAACAAAACCGCCAGACCATCATCTACTACAAAACATACAGCAAAACTACGAAACCTAGTCCCTATGGGTAAAATATGGAAAAAACGAAAAGAAGACAAGAATTAGAAAAACAATTCAACCAATATGATTGCTCCTAGCGGTCGCTCATAGTCATTTTCCGACTCGCCATGGTAATGGACCATGGCGAGTCTACACTGTATCATTTTCATGAAGCATACCCATTACCCTTTACTAGTTGCTGCATTTTTATGCTATGCGGATGCCGACGTGGATGCCGACATTTATTTCATATGACCTTTGACTTTCAGCCAAGGCACAGTGGGGGCAACCACGTGGACTTTAGGGGAAAAACGAAAGCACACTTTTTCAAGATTTGAATAGCAGGTCATATACTTCAACATACGCTCTATTTAACTGCCATGGGAAGTTTTTGTCTAAGTGCCGTCTTAAGTAAAAAAATCTTTATGGAACTTTTTCTTTAAAAACAGATCTATGAACATAGAAATATTGTTTCTCGTGAAACCGAATATGATAATCTCGACAATTATATATAGTTCGAAACTAGGCTGCTCACTCTATGTATTCGTAAAAGAAATTTTTTTCCTGTATGTTTTGGAACCGAGAAAATATTTGTTCTACCTCCGCTAAATGTTTTCTCAAAACGTGTGTCCGGTAAAGTGAGGTTTCCGGTCTTTTCCAAACTCTCAACTAAATGAAAGTTTTAGGTATTCTACTTCTACATCCAAGATATTTTGCCTAGCTCAATTTGTGGAGAATTTCACGGGCTATCCAATGGTATATTTTTAAAAAAATATATAGTTTTTCATTATGACAGAAAAGTGACTAAAGGAGTTTTAGACCTGGTTTCCGTAGTTGAATGCGCTTTTTGCATGTCTTTGATGGCTGGCCTCGCCAGTCAAGATATTCTGGTCAGCTCAGTTTTTAGAGAATTCCAAGGACTATTCAACAGTATAGTTTTGAAAAATATATAATTTTTCATTATGACAGAAAAAACTTCTAAAGGAGAGTTCTGCAGCTGTAGATCCGTTTTTTGCATGTTCTTGATGGCAACTGATTTAGAGTATCTGACTAGCTCGGTTTGTAGAGAATTTCAAGGGCCACTCAATTGTATATTTATTTTGCCGTTTAGGTATAGGAAATATGAAGAAAACAGCTTTTACTCATGATTTTTGCATTATTTTAAGGATGCTGACTGGGATGATATTGTCGAGGAATTAGTGTAATTTTCGGGAACAAAAGCATTCGATTTTACCTGGAATAGAGTAGAAATATATTTTTACTACATACGAGACCATTTTTGCTCGAAAAAGAGAGTGAGCCGATTCCTGACCTTATGCGGACCCCTCCTTTTTAATACCATTTATGTCAGCTAATTCAAAGTCCGCTAATACATGGATTGGTTGCCAACTTGGTAAAATTCCTCGAATTTCTGTGAACAACCTTTCGTATGTACTTTGTGGTTATTGGATAGTAAAGTAAATATCACCTGTACGATAATATTTCGATGACGTGCATGCATTGTAAATAGCAGAAAAGGTATTGATGGAGTAAAAACTTAAAAATTTACCATTCATATACAACTTTTTTTGGCTACTCAAGTATTCGTAACTTGCCCAACTGTACCATATATAATAATTCTATTGCGACTCGTATTGGGATTTTGTTTTGCTCTGGTGTTTTCATGCTGTGGAGCTGGTTTACAGAAATTTTTACTAAAATAAACACAGACAGCAGCGACTCATCAACAAAATTTTGCTGCATAGGGAATGATCGTTATAGTCTAAGCACGTCTTCCATTATAAGTGCGAAAAGCCTAAGAGAATTAGGATATCATGCAAAACAAAAAAATTGAAAAAATTGCAAACAGTCACTTAAAAAAATAAATGAATTTAAGTCACATACCATTGTTAAAGTTATCAAAGGTAATTAACAACATTAAATAGAAGTCAAATTATTTCCATTATTGTTATTTTGATGAATATCCACTGACAGTGTAGTGTTGTACTGACAAGCGTAAATTTACTACAAAACGTAAAAATAAACTTAGTATATTACGTAATTTAGTAGATTTTACACAAAATCTCATAATTAAAGTAACAATTAGAAACATAATTGCTCTACGAAGATATTTCAGTTTTTGTATATATTTTTGACATTTTACCATTTGATTTAAATCTTCGCGTAGAAGATATACTTTAATTCCTATACAATAATTTTTCATATAATCAGACCAATTCATATTTTTTGTTTCAAATCCAAATAAATTTAAATCAGCAGCATTCATTTTATTTTGTAACATCAAGCTATTGTCATTTGAAAAATTCCATTGATGCATTGAAAAAAAGTCTACGATGCGCACAGCTTTATTGATTCTATCAGATAATTTAACAAATCTTGGTTTACGACCAGTTAGACGCATAGATATATCAAGTATATATGATGGTAAAAGTTCTTCCACTGTTCTTTTAATAAAGAAATTAAATTTATTTTTTGTAAATGTCCAATCTGGAATTGTAATGGGATTTTCAAATGGATTTTCATGCACATGTTGTATGGCATATCTGGCTAATTCGTCCCATAATGGACAATTATTAACACAACAATGATAGACAATAATATTTTTAGATTGATTAATTACTGCTGTATACCATGCAATTGATATCATCATATTAACAACAACATCGACAGGTATTAGATCAGCTGCAGCATTTTTATTTCCTAACATTGTTCGAAGCATACCTTTACCAAATGCAGTATATATGCCAGATAAACCATTATAATTATCGATCCAACCTAAGTTGAAATATAGATAGAAAAAGATAGTCGTCGAATACTTTGACAGTGAATACAAGTGCAATACTTATACAAAAAGTCGAAACAAAATAGTTTCACTGAAGATTATGTTCTTTTCCATAGATTAGTGTCTACATATTCTTATAACTTACTCATGCACGAAAAAAAATCGTGAAGCCGGCGCTTGAATCTAGATTAAAAGGTACATTTATCTAGCTTCAACTGGCTGCACTGAAATACATGAGAATTCCATCTAGCTTCTATAAGGTACAACTAGTCGCTATAGATTAATGAGACAATTCATTGCTCTATCAATTGGCCAATGCAGCTGCCTTTTCAGTTAGCAGACGATTTCAACTAGGATGCAGCTAGAAACGTTGTCTATGTATTAGACTAGAAGCACACAATGGTCAGAACTGTAGCTTACTGATTTTGATAGTTATGGAATAAAGGTGACAAGAAATGAGTCGGATCGTTTTAAGAGGCTTGTATGTTCGTGTTCTACCGGTTATCCAGTTTGTTCACTCAGCATTCCATTTTTCCGTCATAGCTAATCGTTAGTTTCGTAGCTTTTGAATTAAATATGATCTTTGCTTAAACTGCGTGTTAAGAGACTGAATATCTTAGAGAGACTTATTAAGGAAACTAAATTCGAAAGCATTTGTAACATAAGGATCCTCATCGGGGACGAGGGGCACAATGAACTAAAAACGGCACAAGAAGACATCAATATTTATATCCATCAAACTCATACTACTAAAATTTCCTCCTGATTTTCCACTGTGTGTGGAGAGGGGAATGCTACGTTTGTATACATATCATTAGGGGGGTAGGAATATCCAATGTCCGGAATATCGTCCAATGTTCTACAACATTTCTTTTAAAAGTTTCGTGTAACCTATGAACTGGTATAAAAACGTTTTTTGTATATTGTATGGACAATCTGTGGCTACTTACTACTGATCAATATCTAACCTGGGAATGGTTCTTTCCATGAAGCACCAACAATCGATGGTCTTATAATGGCAATTGGTAAATTGTTTCCTTCTTCTGATAAAAGATACTCAGCTAATGATTTTGTATATGTATATGTATTTGGACGATCTTTAATTATTTTATCTGTTAATACATCGAATACACTATCGTCCATCCATTCAGATGCGTCTATCAATTTGTGGGGTTCAATTATTGGTGTATAAATCATTTCACCTATATTAGTACGATTACAGTTTGCATACGCTGTTGATACATGTATAAGTGCTTGTAATTTTTTCATTTTATGACAAAGTAAAATTAATTTTCTAATCGGTGTAACATTCATTTGTATGGCTAATCTAAGTGCTTCATTAAATTTTATTGTTGCAGCCGAATGAAATACAATATGACAATTTTCAATAAGTAAATGTTCATCGTCAAAATTTATACCAAAATTTGGATCAAGTATATCACCTTGAATAGGTTTGATTTTATTTTCAAAAACTGGATCTGTTTTGCGAACAGGATCAAATAATGGACAAGATAATAATTGTTTTACACGTTCAACAACAGTATGACCGCGTTTAGGTCTTACCAGTATATAAATATTTTTGATATTTGGACATGAAGAAATCAATTTTTCAACTAATTGTTTGCCAATAAAACCTGTGGCACCAGTAATAAATACGGATTTTTCGCTAAAAAACTCCGCAATTGCACTCGTTTTGTTCATATGCGTCATGAATATATAAAATATATGCTAATATATTGACTATGATTAATTACACGCACATTACAGATAAAATTGTAACAGAAGGTGCTTTTAAATTTCTATTTATTTAGTTAGAATGCGATTTACATCGTGCAAGACGTTTTATTGACTTTCAACACAATGAAATTGTTAATTTCTTAATTTGAATATTTTTTGTACTTTTAACCAAATAAATAGAAATTTTAAAGCAGCTACTGTTACAATTTTATCAATGTTGTCTATAGACATCACGAGAGCGAGAGAGTATACTCTTGAACAAATACAATACCTAGTACTTTTATTTCTTTTGCGCTCTGTCTTCCCTATTTAAAACTATGTGAATATACATAGACACATATTCTTCGTTCTCTTTCTTTCTTTTTCTAGAACAATTCTTTCATCAAATAAACTTGAAATTGAAATATTTTGAAATTTATTTCAATGAGAATGAACACGCATATGATTTCATTGCTACAAATTTTTGTATTACTTCTACGTAGTTAGATTATTCTTTTCATTTTTCTTTCTTTCTGACACTCTTTACTTTATGGATTTTCTGTTGGCTGGCTACTGAATCGTACATATATGTTCTCACAAATAATGTACACAAAAATGTAGTAAATCATACAAATTGACTCACATGATATACTGATAAAGTTCCTTTCTCTTACCCATGATCGAAGAACGATCCTATACATCTGACTTACTGATATGCAGGTCTTACTCATGTGTATGCGTCTGAAGTCACGACTAGAACAAAAAATACACGGGCTTGTACCAATTGAGAAACATGGCGAACTAAATCGGCTTCGGCAAGCTCTTACTTCGATCAACTAGGCGTCGGATGACAGATTTTCTGTAAAACTAGATATAATGTAACGTCGAGAGAGTATTTTTTTAAACAAGAAGAGAGTGTATAAACTGAATTAGTCGTTTATACAATCTGAAAAATTTCAACTACAGTTTCTGTTATTCATCTTGAGTTATCAAGTTTTGTCTAAAACGTTAATGAAAAGGCTTATAGTTCGTTCCGTGAGATATTTTTGTTGATTGAAACAGTGCCCAAAAATCGCGTGTAAGCGACGAAATAACAGAAACGAGTTCAATAGATGCCTGAAACGCGATTTTTAGCTGTTTAATCGATACGTGGCACGCGTTTCAAGCATCGATTGAAGGCGTTTCTGTTATTTCGCCGCTTACACGCGTATAGATACCGTTTCAATATAGAAAAGTATCTCATGGGGTCCGGATGAATGAAAAGTTCGGTCTTTAAATCAAAAATGCCTTTGTTTCAGTAAAAAGTTTTTTTCCCTAAAAAAAAAAGACTTGTGTACGAAAGCTAAAAAAGAGTGTAGAGAAGTATAACCATTTTTAAACCCTTTTATGTATCATGGAAGAATTCTCATTCTGGAAGTCTTCTTTTAAAAGATTAGAGACAAAACATTCTGTTAGCGGTCATCGATGCACAGAAAAACGTGAATTTCACAAATTTTCGTATTTTTTGATTTTCTCAGAAACCATCAAAGTTCTATTAACCGTTCATTTCTTGTTAGAAAGAGGAATGTTTACTCGATAAGATCATGTGTTTAGACATAATAATGCACTAAATTATCGACGACTTAAACATACAAAACTAAAATATTCCATATTTTTAAACACATATTTTTTTCAATATAGAGCGCCGATATAGCAGTCCTTAAACAAATCTTGCTATATTTTGTAGAGCATACAATTCTGCATCGACTCACATACCATACGATATTAAACACGAGCTTGATACACTTTGAAATTCAATATTCGAGAGAAGCATAGGCCGAGGAATTTTTCATCTTTTTGTTACTTTTCTAAATTTTGATACGGATTTCAAAAGTATGGATAGGGAGAATCCTTTTAAGTCATCAGAAATGTAGAGTAAATATTTTCCTACAAAACCAGACGTCGGCGTGTTCTGTGCGACATTTTGTTCTAATACTAGACTTATTTTCTATTATCCTTTTCAAAATAGTATGCCCCGGGTTATTTATAAGCTTTATTTAGTAAGTCCGGTTATTTTTTGAATAACTGGAGGCAGAAAGGAGATGAAGACATGTGACCATTCGATAGCCAAGACGTTAAAGCATCTTTTCATAAACAAAAGAGATACAGCGACATTTCCGCGAATTTTCCATAGTATTAATTTGTGTATTTCTTGCAGTGTGTGGTAAGAGGTACGGTTGTGGACAGTGTGAGAGGATACCTCGACATTTTCGTGAACCTACCTTACCACGACAACAGTTCCGCTTCTCCAAAAATTTCCGAAAATAGATTTTAAAGAAACTAAACTTGAGAAAACTAACAAAACAGCTGGTGTTAATAATAAATCTACTCGTTATCAGAATTTTATCAATCACAGCTTTATCTT